CTCCCTTCCTCCTTCCTCCCTTCCTTCCCCTCCTCTTTCCTTCTTCTTTCCCTCCCTCCCTTCTTTCCTTCCCCTCTTCTTCCCTACATTCCTCCCTCCCTCTCTGCACTCCCTCCTTCCCTTCTTCATTCCTCCCCTTCCTCTCTCTCCTTCCCTCCCTTCCTCCCTACCTCCCCTTCCATTCCTTCCCTCCCTTCCTCCTTCCTCCCCTTCCTCTCCCTCCCTCCCTCCCTTCCTTCCTCCCCTCTTCTTTCCCTTTTTCTGTCCTTACTTCCTCACCCCCTCCCCCCTTCTCTCCCTCCATCCTTTCTTCCTCCTTTTTCCTTACCTTCTAGCTCATTCAGTAGGTGTTTATGGACGCCTTCTGGGAAAGTCTTCAACTTCTGCCCCTGTCCAGTTTTGCGTAATTTTAAATTGATAAGCAGAAATTGTGGACCTGGAGAGATGGCTCAGAGGTTAAGAGCACTGGCTGCTCTTGCAGAGGACCCAGGTTCGATTCCCAGCACCCACACGGAGGCTAACAATTGTCTGTAACTCCAGTTCCAAGAGAATTTGACACTCTTTTCTGACCTCCGTGGGCATTGCACAGCACGGGTGCACTTACACATATACAGGCAATGCACTAATACACACAAAATAAAAATAATAAATAAAATATTTTAAAAAATTATGTGTATTTAGAACACACAGCATCAAGATTTGAAGTGTATACATGGTGGAATGGGCTGCATCACGCTCAGTGGGTAAGAGTGCTGTGCAAACACGAGGACTGTGTGGATCCTAGCACCCGTGTAAAAATCTGGGCACAGTTATACATGTGTCTGTAACCCCAGAGATGTTGAGGGGTGGAGACAAGAAGATCACTGGGGTTTGCTGGCCATGAGACTGGGTCCAGGTTCAGTGAGAGACCCTGTCTCAAGACAGTGATACAGCAGGTAGCCTGATGTCCTCCTCTGACTTCTGCATGCATGCACGGCATACACACCACATGTATTCTTATGCCTACATCACACACATCCACAACATCCACACAACATAGGTATATGTACACACACAAATCTGTACTCAGCAAATTTCAAGTATACAATCCATCATCACTAACATAGCTGCCCCGCCATGCGATATATCTCACCAGTTTATTCCTGTCTGACTGAGGTTTTGTATTCTTTGACCGGCATCTTGCTGATACCCCACCTCCCAGCTCCGTTAGTAAAGCATCATTCCACTGTCAGCTTCTAGAACCCTGACTTGTTTGAATTTTACTTATAAGACCAGACAGTGCTTATCTTTCTCTGTTTAGCCTCCTTTACTTAGCATAATGTCAGAACTGTCCATGTGACTGCTGCTATTGAAAACATTTCCATCTCAAGGGCTGAGTAGTATTCCGAGAAGATATTGTGTTCACAGAGCAACACTGTTCAACCTTTTTTAAATCTATTCATCTGTTGATGGACACTTAGGTGGGTTCTATATTTTGGCTATTGTGAGTAATTCAGCCCCACTCATTATGTAGCCCAAGTTGGCCTGGAGCTTGTCGTGTAGCCCAGGTTGCCTTTGAACTTGCTATCTAAATGCCACAGCCTCCTGAGTGTTGGGGTAACACAGGCATTATGCACCAGACTTTAGGGATGAAGGGTAGGCTGGTTTTTCTCTAGGTCAGAATGGCATAGGGTGCCCAGTGTCCACTCCTGGAGGTTGGTTCACTCTGTAGGTCTGGGACAGACTCATGGACTGGAAATTTTCCAGGGGTCTGTCTTCCAGTGGTTCTGACACTCAAGTCTGGGAGAGTGAGGGCTGTGGCTGTGACTGGATGGGTGTGAGCATTGACCAGATTACAGTATCTAACATCCTAGTAATAAAATAAATACTTATGGGTAGGTATAGTGGCATACACCTGTAATCCCAGCACCTGAGAAGCTGAGGCAGAAGGATTGCCATGAATTCGAGGCCATCCTGGGCTACATAATAAGTATCAGGCCAGGCAAGGTGATACAGTAAGACCTTGTCTTAAAAATTAATAAAGATGCTGATGGGACCAGCCAGGCAGGTGAACTCTAACAAACTATTGGTTAGTATTTGTCATTAAAAATATTTATTTTATGTGTATGTATGTAGATGCACTGCATGTATGCAATGCCCACAAGAGGCCAGAAGAAGGTGTCGTAACTCTTGAAGGTTGTTAGCTGCCATGTGGGTGCTGGGAACTGAACTTGGGTCCTCTGCAAGAGCAACCAGTACTGTTAACTGCTGAGCCCTCTCTCCAGCACAATATTTGCTATTTTGATGGTGTCTAGCTCAAGGCAGGGAAGCAACAGTGCTAACTGATGGTTGGAGTAATGGGAACAGTCTCTAGGAGGACGAAGTGTGTTCCCTGTGACCTAGGGAGTTTCTTCTAGAACTTCATGTTCATGATGATAGACAAAAGTGACCATAGTGACCAGTGAAGGTGTGCACACATGTGTACCTGCACCCACATGCACATGTGTACCTCTCCCCCACAAGGCATAGGGTGTGCACATCCTTTAACCCAAAGGAACAGACAAGTGCAGACGTTCAGGGAATGAGCTGAAGCAAGTGCATGATTTTACACTAGGCAGATGCAGGTGAGGACCAGGAAAACTTGAATGGTTTGAGTGTTGGCTAAACTTTGATTCCTTCCATAGGGAGTGGGCACAGCTGGGCAGAGCTGAGGAGAGGTGGGTGGGGGCAGGCAAGCTTCTATCACTGTAACCAGGCGTTGTAAATAATGACTCTTTTTTATTTGTTCTATAGGTGCTTCCTATAGCAATATGCTTCAAAAGGGCTGTGGGTGGGTAACTGAAAATGCAGTCTCTAGAGGAAGTTATAAGGGGCAACCCTGCTTTTCTTTAGCAAAGTCCTTTCCTTCAGAGGGCATTGGATCCCCTGGAACTGGACTTATAGATGGTTGTTAGTTGCTATGTGGGTGCTAGGAACTGAATCTGGGTCTTTTGCAAGAGCAGTCAGTGAGTCATCTTTCCAGCCCCTCTGAACAAAATGTCTAAAGGGAGGGTTCATTTTGGTTCACAGTGTCACAGGCTCTAGTCTATCCTGACTGGAAGGATGTGGTGGGGCAGAGCAGCTCACAGCACAGCACCCAGGAAGCAGGGGGAGAGCCTTTACT